TTCTCGTCGCCGCAGTCCCCGCTGTCAGCGGGGGCCGCTGCCAGAAGCGTGGTCCTGCGGCGGGTGAGCAGGCAGCTGTGCTGGCTTGGATGAAGCCCCCGACAGCGTTTGGTGTGCACGGGCAGCTTGCCCCGGTGGCTCAGGGGTCAGTCTGTCGACTCTGATAGTGTTCGCTCATCTGTCTCTCAAGATCGCTTCCAAAGCAATTTCCCTGAATCGCGGCTTAGGAGAAGGACATAGCAGCTTCCTTTAGACAGTTGTTTGTTGGGTTGCACCCGCTCCTTACGCTTTGTTTTTCTCATATACAAACATGTCACAACGCGTTTGGTGTGTCACTGGTTGGGACCTGCTCTGAAGGCATTTGGGTGGCACTGGAATTCATTAGGATGTCATTAATGATGTAATTCTCCTGAACAGGCACTTGTTCTCCTCGTAGACTTATAGCACCGAGATAGAAATAATTTTTTGTGTCGTTTCTAGTGTTCTCCTTGCACTTCACTCATCAGCTGCCGCAGCCCGCTGGGTTTCCCTCGGGTCTCAAGTCAGGGTCATGCTTTTCTTTGCAGTTACGTGCCGTGTTGTATGTCACTGGGGCCAGAGCCTTCCAGCAGAGCGTTTAAATATAGACAGCAAAGACTATTCATTGACATCTTTCAAAGACCGAGCAAGTCTTTTGCAATCTGTGCTGTTATTTAGAAAACACGAAGTTATTTTAGGATATGAATTGTTCCTTGTGTCATCAGTAGGAAAACACTCAGAAGTGCGCACCTTGCAAATCTTCCTGTCCTGCCCTTGTACAGACAACATTCACTTGAAGTGTGTCATGCCTTCATTGCATATGCTGTTAATCCTTGCTCTCAAGCAATCGTCGTGATTCAGAGAAGCCACGTGCATGACGGATGATTATAGCGAATGTGAACTGTGACGAGAAGGGAAGCGGAAAAGGTGATGGCCCACTGCCTGACGTTTTTGTCAGCTGGCAACGGCGTTGGCTTGCAAAAGTAAAGCTTGAGAAAGATAATGTTTGTGATTCAAAGTTGTTGAATGTAAATGTCATGTGGGTTTTTTCTGAGTTCTGGATTGCTCTCATACTGTATCTGGAAACACAGGATTGTGCCTCTAGTGTGATGTTAAGGTGACTTTCTCCTGTAGAATTTCCAGCTGACGTTAGCTCAGCAGATAAAGAGGAATGGATTTGACAGAACAGCAACAGAAAGCTTTATACCTGGGGGAGTTCCAGAATTTCCAGATCAGGAGGTCTCAATGTGCATTTAGAAAGTAGTATCTGTCTGTCCTGCGGTACTAAGCTCTAAAACCACTCTGGAATGAGACCTTCCAGCCTAAAGCCTTGGCTGTTGATGCAAGTTGTGCCTGTAGCATGCGGGATGTTTTAGCGTTAAATACCTCGTTCCTAACGCAGTCTTTGATTTGAGGAGGTCTTTTGCAATTCTAGGTAGACTAGTGGTATGAAGGGAAGTTAGAGAGATGAATCAACCAAGTGGTTGAGGGCTGAAAAAGTTGTGGGTTTTGTTTTTTTTTTTTTTAAGTAAGGGCAATCCTTGAACTCTCTATTTGTGACGTGTAAGCTTCATATACAAAGTAAAATTATAACAGGCTTCAGCCGACTTGCTTCATATTATACCAAAGTCCTTTGTAATAGAGGTGTTCTGGGTAGTCTGTTCATGAAGAAGCTCGTTTAAAAGGTGATTCTCAGCAAAGGGAACCTGAACCTTAGGTAAATCCCTTTTGCTGAGGATTTTATATCTATTCTTGCCTGTAATAAATCTAAAGGAAACTTTACGGCAGCAGACAGAAACTTTAATTTGTCATTGGTTAGCAACATACGTGTGGCCCCAACATGAACTCAAAAGCATGGATTTCCACCAGGAGGCCTGGAGGGGCAGGTTTATGTGCAGAATGTACGTGTCTGTGTGAGCTGGGTTTTGCCAGTATACTCGAAAGGTAAAGATGCAATACTTAGTGTAGACACTGCTCCATGACTAACTGTACGCTGTAAGAAATCTGTAGTTGATTCCCGCAAGTTTGTGCCTCGTGTTGTTGGAACAGGCGGATGTGGCCGTCTCCTCAGTCGCCGTGATGGGTAGCAGGCTCTGCTTTGGAGTACAAGACCTGTGTGAAATGTGGGAACAATGTGGTTCGCTTTCTTTGTGCATATGTCAAGCTCGACTCCCTTATTACCCAGAAAAGCACGTGGCGAGGCCTTTTTCCTGTGCTGTTCTGTTCTGTGACATACATAGATAGCAAAGGCATGTTTATCTTCCAGATACATTAAGCAACTGCAAAATTGATTTGGCAACACTTGCTTTTTGGACTGGCCAAACGATGCACTCATATGTGCTCGAGAGTGTTCTGTGACACAGCAGTTGTGTTCTAATTAGAAGTCTAGGTTTGCAAGCGGGACAGAAGATCTGTAGTTCTTTGCAAATGTCAGAGGAGAAATTATGATGCTCTGTTTGAGGCCAAAGCTTGCTTTGAATGAGCCACTGCTGTCAGTGAAAATGAGAGCCCTGAGATATCCTGAGTGAGCCTACTATCAAATTCGAGTATTTCCATGATACCAGCTGATGGAATTCTTACTAGCAGAGGGTGTTGAGCTCAGTGCTTTTTATAGCATTGGCCTGATGAAAAAAAAACCACCACCATACTCTGTTTAATGTTTCTTTATAAACAGTTACGGAACCGTGGAGTCTTTGTCTTTTTCCGATTTTTTTTCCAAACCCAGAAAGCTGATCTTGACTGCAAGTCCTGAGTTAGAGAAGAGGGAAGTTACGGGATGAAAACACCTGTTTGAGCAATCTCTTACTCATAAACAGCTCTTTGCTCTTTTCCTCCTTGCTGCCCTGGAAACATGCCTGAGAATGTGAATATCTCACAGTCCTCTTGTGAGGCACAGAGGTAATCTTTGCAGCCTGAGGCATACTGGGAACTGTCCTAGAAGAGCACGTGGGGCAAGGAGGTCTTGTACTTGGCCTGTGATGGTACGAATGAAAGCATGTTTGTGTAGCTTTGGCGCTCTGTTTGGTTTTGCTTTCTTTTCAGGTGATGTTTTACTGTAATCTTGAATTTGAAATAAGACCTGGTAGACTAATCTGTGGTTTGGAAGTACAACCCGTGACCCGGCTGGTCACTTACCATCCTGTGTTCCCAGGCACCACTACTGGAGGTGATTATTAGTTTCTGACTGTGTATATGCTCTGGTTTTTTCTGCGTTAACTAGAAGTCCAAGAAGGGAGCATGGACCAGCCCAGCGGAAGGAGTTTCATGCAAGTTCTTTGTGAGAAATACAGCCCTGAGAACTTTCCGTACCGTCGTGGACCTGGTATGGGGGTGCATGTCCCAGCAACTCCGCAGGGTTCACCTATGAAAGGTAGGGTTCTGGTCTTTCTGAGCGTCTGCGGGGTTCTGGGTGGATCAGTTTCTCGGTTGTTCTTGCTTATGTTGAAAGAAGAATCGCCCCGAATTGACCAGAAGAAGAAACATCGTGATGTATTATAACGTGTTTCTTACTGAAGAGCTGAGAGACTGGAATCTAACCAAGACATCAAGCTGATCTAGTGACCGAATCGGTTGCTGTGAAAAACAAGTAAGTGTCCCTACCCCTGTTACTGCCAACGTAACAGAGTCAGCATCCTGTCAATGAAGGATGGAAATAAGGCCCTGCGCAGTGCTGAGTTTAGAGGGTTCCGCAGCCCCTGGAGCTTCTTTTCCTCAGACCGGTGATGCTATTTAATTAGTGGCTGCAACAACATGTAGTTTGACAGAGATGGCTTAACAAAGATACAACACTTGTTCGAAATTGGAGATTGGTCCACATGCTAGTGGTGTCACGCGGTGCCATCAACTTGTGTCGGTGCCTGCAGGTGCGGAAGGAGTCCGGTGTACACAGGAGCAGACCATATTTCAAGGCAAGCGATGAGTCGTTGAATCTCCAGTTAGGCTTCTTTGGTGACAAGCGACTCGAATTTGTGTTTTACTTTGTCTCTCTTCTCAAGCCATCAGGTGCTCGCTGACTGTGCTTATGCTGTCCTTTTGGAGAAATCCCCTCTCTCTGTTGCTTCTTACCTTACTGCCTTGAGGGACTTTCAGATAGATGTGTGTCTGGAGCGCTGTGCTGCTCATGTATGTCCCTGAGCCTCCTAAGACTCCAGAATCCGTGTCATGGTTTTCTGCTCTTTGAACTGGATCCATCGGACACCCTGTAGTTTTCCTTCACGTGCTGATGTTAGCATTTGGTTCTCGGTTTGTATAGAGGAGTCTGAGATTCACAGAATCACAGAATGTTCGGGGTTGGAAGGGACCTCTGTGGGTCATCTAGTCCAAGCCCCCTGCCAAAGCAGAGTCACCTACAGCAGGCTGCACAGGACCTTGTCATGATTCACAATGATTCACATTTATTGCACCAAAACGGCCTCTTCTGTGTGTAACCTCCTGCCGATCTTGATCTGTAAATGTAGTCTAAATTTCCGTCAGGTCAATTTGTATCATAACCGGCCCCAAAGGGGAAAATAGCCATGGAAGTCAGCTGGATGAAGTTTACAGTAACTGACTGTGACAGAGGAGAAAAAAGGGCCTGAGTTCAGCTGAGGATAAAACGTACCGCGTGTCACTCAAAATTAACACGGACAGAAAATTGGCCTGATGGAATATTCAGTCAATTCCCTCTCTCTTGTATGCGAGCACCCGCTTACCTGAGCTGTCCTAAAGTGTGTCTGAGACATGACTTACAAGTACCTCATACTAATTCCCAAAGTATAACACTCTCCTTTAAAGAAGGCGAACGCTAATGAGCCAGGAAACTGGAAAACTCAGATCGCTCCTGATCATTGTCTGCCGCTAGCCTCCCTTTCTAGTGGTGCAGCTGTCAAGTATGAAAGAGAGAGAAAAAGGGCCACCTTTTTAGGAAAAGGCTTGTTGTCAAATTTTAGCAGGTTTTGGTACTCCATAGAGGTGGGAGAGCCGTATTGTATGTGAACGAGTGTAACACTGATGGCTTACCTTGCTTAAATGCAGATTTCTTGTGTGGAGTTGGTTTTCTGTTACAAATCCACAGCTTTTGACTTTGTCATGTTTTGGCCTTAGCAAATCAGGCTGTGACTGAGCCCCAAGTCCTTGTCTGTGAAACAGCCAAGGGAATGTTTACCTGTGTGAGAAGGAACTAGAGCAAAACCGGAGCAGAAACAGAAAAGGCAGAGTAGAGACCCAAGTTCTTCCAGGACGTAAGAATGCTAAATGTTCTACACTGCTGAAAAGGGAGAGCTTAGAAAAGGAACGTTTGAATACATCCTCGCTGTTACTAACCCCAAGTACAAGAGGATACAGAAGTGACTCTCTGCAGCTAACGGTCCACATAGTCCCAGATGAGAGAGGCTATAAACTGCAAAGGACTGTCCCGTCCTCACTGCGATGTGGACAGAAATGCCTGTAGTAACTAAAGAGCACTGATACCGAGTGGTACTTCATGTTTAGACACAAGTAGGCTTCTTGATTGACGTCGGTCACTTGTCATGAAATCCGGGTTTATCCTGAGATCTTCAAACACGCGTAAATTGTGGAATTACTGGTCGGTTTTTTTCTTTTGCTGAATGTCATGTTTGTTTGTGCTTGTTGTTACCTTCTGTGACTAAGCAATGCAATTCTGACCAGAGGGCATGTTTTCTTTTTCCCTGTTTCAGATCGCCTCAACCTTCCAAGCGTTCTAGTACTGAACAGCTGTGGCATAACCTGTGCAGGGGATGAGAATGAAATCGCCGCCTTCTGTGCTCATGTGTCTGAGCTAGATCTTTCTGACAATAAACTGGAAGACTGGCATGAGGTAAAATGGTTACATGCGCATCTTTCTGAATAACGATGATGGCTATTACTATGACTGCAAACGCATTGCAGGCTGTAAGAGTACTTGGCTCATTTAGAATAGAGGTATTTTCATTTTTTGTGGCTTCTTTCTCATCTGTGAAGCTGATGCTTATTTACTTTGACAGCAATAGAGCAATAAACGTGATGAATTTAATCCAGTTGAGCACTTCGCTCCATTTAGCTCATGACTTACGATCTTGGCCTGTAGGTGACAAATATATGTATTTTGTGTTGATCATGCAAAATACCAGAACGGTCACTTATAATATAAAGAGGTTAATGAGCAGTGCAGTTTTCACAGACGAAGAACAGAGGAGGTCTGAGTAATGGGAGTTGATTCCCAGCTTTGCCACCAATTCTGTGATGCTGGGCAAGGTATTTATTCCCTCTCCACATTCGTTTCCGTATCTTCAACACAGGTTTAATAACACCTCCAAGGATATTTCTGAGTCCTCGTGAATTAATGCCAAATGCTCTTGTAAAATCCTCTGAAGTGTTCGGATGAAATATGCTGGGTAAAAGCAATCTAATACGAGTAAAACAATCGCAATCTGTTCAAGTGTTGTTAACAGTTCCTCACTGGCTCATGCTCTGCTTTTATGGTAGTAGTTATTGTTGGAAATGCGTGGAAAAGAACAGGATATGCCACACAGAAATTATCATGTGTTTCTGCTGCAGTGTTTGCAGAAGTGTCCCAGCTCTGGCACAGGGTGCGCAAAGTTAGAAGCGGGATAGGTTTCCCTGTTCCTGTTATTTTCTCGTGACCCTAAAACGTATTAGCTCAGCGGGTGGCAGAGAGCACTTAGGCTCGTCTGTTGAGAATAGAGCCAGGGAAGATGGTTTTGTACTGAGGGCGTATCTGCTAAGAACTGGGATGGCGTCTCCTGACCCATTAGGCACCCTCCCACAGTAATGAGGTGCTGCCTCTCCACTCCCTGCTCTGCCTCTTACTCTCAGTGGGGCTGACCTCGTGTCTGGTGAGCAGCTGAAACAGCTGCACAGACACTGGTCACTCGCAAGCTGCGTGCCTGCACCCTGCTGTTTGTTCACTCTGTTTAGGCTACCCCAGACGGCACAATTTGCTAGCTTCTGCATGAGCTGCAGCAAAGCAGGATATGAAAGGCTTTCCGAGTACTTTGGCCCCTTCCTCTGAGACAGGAATAAGTTTTCATAGCCATCCGCAACAGATAAATATGTCATCGACTCCTAAAAACCGCCAGTGATGGGGATTCCAGATCCCTGGGTAGCCTGCTCCCGTGCTAAGCTAATCACCTCATAGTCTAGACTATGTAACGCAAGTCTCCTGTGCTGCAATTTAAGCCAATTGCTCCCTGGCCTGCTCTCAGCAGGCATGGAGGAGCATTCATCTCTGTTCCTTATATGACAGGCTTTTATACCCACGAAGAAGAGCTTTCGTGTCTCCTCTTCCTATTTTAGTATGATGCCTAAAAAAAATCCAGTTCTTCCAATTGTTCATCGTAGCCCATTTTTTCTAATTCCCGTGTAGTTTTTGTTGCTCTGATGTCATTCCAGTTTGTCTACTCCATTCCTAGGGCATAGTGCCCAATACATGCCATCCCTTAAGATGAGGCTTTATCAGCGTGATGTGAGGCAGACTAATCACCTCCAGCATCATGTATGCAACGGTTGAATTGAAGCTCCGCGCGAGACAATTGCCCTTTGCTACCAAATGGGTCCTGTTATTGACCTGTGTATGACATGATCTGCCCCATCTCCTCCCATCCCAATCGCTTGGTGGAGCGGACCTCTCTAGCCAGATGTTTTCTGACTCATAATTGTTTTCTGGATGAGTGTCTTTTTCCCTGAACGTTAGCTCTTTGACTATCCTTGAACCAAACTTCCGTCTTACAGGTGTCAGATGGCTTTGCTTTGGCCTCTAGTGTTGTACTGCAATGTGATGGCAGCCTTTCCCACCGTAGTATCCCCCACAGATTAAGAAAACACATAGTGTGTGATTATTCTGGTCATTGAAAACATAACGAGTAGTATTCTGCTAGAACGCTCCCTCGGTATGTCTGCTGGCTTTGTATTGAACTCTTAACTTACAGTGGTATCCCAGGCACTGTAAGACTCCAGTTTGCCCTTGGGACTGGTGCGCGGGTAGCGTCAGAAGCTGTCATTCCCTTCTGCTACTTCCTACCGAATCAGGTACCCGGTCGAAGAGATGTTCTTTACAAATTGATGCTGCCTGGCTGTTGTGTTCACCTAAATCCTTACTACGCGAGTGCAAATTGGTCATATAAATATCCCGTGTCTATCTGTGTCGTGGCAATATCTAGGCCGGCACCTACCCCGATCACACAGCCCGTGATGTATCCCGCACTCCAGAGCTGTACAGTCATCGTTGCTGGCTTTTCTATCTCTTTCTTGACCTTTCTTCCTTTCCTCTCTGCTACTTTGCCCTCGAGTGCACATCTGTATGCACAAATGGAGAAGGTAGCCCCAAGCAGAGTTACGTGAACATTTGGATTGATTGTAAGAAAGCTGCTGTTTTCATAATAATGGGATCGAATCAGAAATTCATCATAGGTGTACAGTCAGCTTCTATCTTTTGTTTACGTTGGGCAAAATGGTGAGGTTTCCGGCTAGTGGGGAGCAGGGGAAAGCTGAGCAAGTGATCAGAGTACTAGCCGTAAACTCAACAGACGTGCCCGCCCCCTCCCTGTCCAAAGAAGGGTACGGCGTGCTGGCTTCTGTAACGTGCTGCTGCTGAAGCTCGGTGTTGAGGTGGATTTTATGACCTCTCCCAGGAGACCGGCTTTTTCTTATCGCGCTGCTCGGAGAGTGTAATTAAATGAACTGTTGAGGTGAATGAGCAATTAACCAGTCAATCTAGATCAGCGAATAGCTGGAGTATGAATTACAGGTAGTTATCCAGAAGCCTTATTTCTGCCCCCCCGTATCATTTCTTTGACTTGGTGATTCCAAAGGGCCCCCTTTTAGGAGATGGGATATTACTGCATAAGGTCCGATTACTGCCTGATATGCGTCACTTTCTTTCTCTTTTTTTTCCCTCCCCACTTAGGTCAGTAAAATTGTGTCCAACGTTCCCCACTTGGAGTTTCTAAACTTGAGTTCCAACCCTCTCAGTTTGTCCGTTTTAGAGAGAAGGTGTGCTGGGTCTTTCGCTGGTGTTCGCAAACTTGTGCTCAACAACAGCAAAGCTTCCTGGGAAACAGTCCACACAATCCTGCAGGAATTACCAGAGTAAGCATGGGGAGATGGGCTTAGAAAGGGGTGCTCGCTGCACGCAGGTCAAGGCTGTCTTATCAAATCACATGGCGAGGGGTGAGAGGGGTGTGAGGATGCAAGCGGGACCAGTAGAGAAGAAGGGAATTTTGGGGGGGGGGGCAACTTGGGAACTGGCTAGGTGAGTGCTTTACATTGTCTTAAAAGCTGAACTTGTATGGCACTGTGAAGCCCGAGGCTTCTCGTCTAAATCTAAACACCGGAGAAGGATAATCACCCTGACGATGCGGGAGGTGACAGGCTTTCCTCCGAGTCAGTGCAGGATAAATGGTGCAGTGCATACCTGTACTAATAGCTATTGAAGGGGGCGCAAGTTGGAGGGTCTGGCCACTTGTCAAGTAATATGTCATCGTGCTTTTCGGTGCAAAAGTGTGCATTTCTGTGGCTTGGCCACGGTCCACCTTGGCAGCGGCATTCTGCTTCCCTGAATGTCCTCGGTGGCTTCATTTTGATAACGGATTCCTCTTTGTACAGCTTTGTAAGTGGAGGTGAAGACAGCAATATATCCTGCGTGGCCAACATACGCTTTCCTCGGATTAGGGGAGCTAGTTTAGTCATTTGAAAACTTAGCAGGACTAAGTACTTGCTGTAATGGGAATCTTTGGCAGAACCAGTGATGTGGGGAGAAAAGGGTCATCCGTGTTGTGTAAAAACACCTTTCTAAATTAAGTGATGAGCCTTGAGAGCAGGTACCAATCACCACTGGAGTTGGGTTGGTGGCTTGTTGGCCACAATAGTGGAACACCGCCCCAAGCAATCTGTTACACAGTTAATGCAGGGAGGCTAGGGCAACACTTGGAGGTGTTTTTCATCTGTGGAGGAAGTTGACGGATGGGAGCAGAGACATAGTCAAAACACTCCGTTTGGAGTGCTCAAAGGTCTTCTCTACACCGAGGACTCAAATCACATGAGACCCGTTACAGAAAGTCGTGTTAAAAGCGCATACGCGTGTCCCTGTGCCCGAGGTGATGGCTACTTCTGTAGGTATGTTGAGATGATGACATGATCTGTCTTCCCCTGTGCAGCTTGGAGGAGCTCTTCCTGTGCCTTAACGACTATGAAACAGTGTCTTGTTCTCCGGTGTGCTGTCCGTCTCTCAAATTGCTCCACATAACTGACAATAATCTTCAAGACTGGACTGAAATTCGAAAATTGGGAATTATGTTTCCATCACTGGACACGCTTATTCTGGCTAACAACAACATCACGACCATTGAAGAGTCGGAAGATTCTCTAGCAAGGCTGTTCCCCCACCTGCGATCCATCAATTTGCACAAGTCAGGTGAGAGCCTGGAAGCAGTATGCTTTGTGTTCTCAGCATAACTGACAGTGGTTGGTCAGGGTCTCTCCTGAGTGGCTGAAAAACACACTTGCTCTGTGCTCGTTGAAACTTTGGCCTTGGTCTGGTTGCTTCTTAGACCTGTGTTAGCAGCCGGTAGCCGGCAGTCGACATGGCGTCTTGCAAAGCATGAGAGAGGCCAGGCAAAGGCAGAGCTGCCGAGCAAGAGCCTAAACCTTTGGGATGGTTCTGTTGCTGCAGCAGAGATGAAAATGCCCCGTGACCTTTGTCCCCATCTATCCTGGCTTCTCGGCAGAATCAAAAAGCTGTCGATAAATGTAGTCCCGACAGACCTATCATGTTGAAGTGCAGTTTCGTAACGGTGCTAATGCAGGGCCATGCAAGCAAACGTGCTGGAGTGCATTGACCTGAAGAATGTAGCATTAGGAGAGGAAAAGAGGCAAGAAATCAACTTGCCCATCTCTGCGGGCTCTACCTGCCGGTTTTGGTAGTTAGTCTTTAGCTGAAAGATGAGTCAGACTGGCAGTTATTCAAAATGGGCTGGCAAAGGTTTTTTACGGTAGTAGTTCCCCTCTGTTTCCTGTCCCTGCCTCAGGTGCTCCTGGCTGCAGAAGGGGAAGTAAGTGTCTGGCAGTGGAGGGGACGCAGGAATCCCATTTGCCTCTCATTCCCTGGTTTATCTTGGGTAGCGTGAGCGTATGCATACATGTGGCATGTAAGGGCTGAGCGTTCACCAGCAAAAGCTGTCTGTCATCTGTGCCCAGTTATTAGAAGCTCACCACAAGTTATGCTTGAGGCTGCTCTTACACGTCAGTCCCAGAGAAATTTCAGCCGGCGCTCCAGAAAGAGAACGAATACTTGCCATATCAGGAAGGGCACGCGTGCACAGAGAGAGGGGAGCTGCAGGATGGCTCGTGAGGGCTGTGACACGTTTGTGCGATGACACGTATGCCAGAAGTTCTTCTGCAGGCGTACTTAATGCATCATCATCTTTTGTTCTTTACAGCTTCACATGCTGTGCAAGGAATAGTGAAGCGTTAGCAAAGGTAGAAGGTACTGTATTGACATGCTCTGCAATGTAAGCATCAGGAATCCCTTTAATAAAAGCTTAAAGCTAAGTAGAGGAAGCAAAGCCTGTTAAGCAGGATTTGAAAGCACTGTCTCACTGAGGAGCAAGTGCTCCTGTGGTAAGTAGTCCTGCGCAGTTGATGCCAGGTGTTTAAGGACGCCGGTTTCTGTATTGCATTTTGATGTTTTGGGAGGTGAAAGTCAAACAGAAATCCCAATGTTAAACTGTTGTTTTGTTGGTGGTTTTTTTTTTTTTGTGAAACAGCCACACCCCAAAATTCTGTCATGTGAGGACTCCAAACTAGCAGCTCTTTTTGCAGACTCTTTTGGCCTAGCGGAGATCAGGGATGAACTAAAGGTAATGGTGTCTAGTGAAGTTGTAGCGCAGTGGGGTCACGAGGGGATGAACAGATTTTCCTGCCGAGGCGTATGCCGTGGCTGACAGCAGTTGCTCCTGCAGAGGTGGTTTTGTCTCCGCACTAGCTTGCTCCCAGCTAGGAGAGCTTTTGGCCCTTTCAGAGCACCCTGACTTAGGTCCCGGGCACCCTTTGGTGACATTGTGTCCCAGAGATCAGGTGGAAGAGTTCTGCTCCTGTCACCAACCGCTACTCAGTTTATCTGTAAACGTGGCTGATGCTGATAGCCAGAGGATGGCTTTAGACATGGGTGACCTTGGCAGAGATGTTTTGAGCACCGTGGGGAAAGGAAACTCTCTCTCTCCCCGCCTCAGATTCAGTGTCGCGATACTTCCAGGAGCTTTGTTTCTGCTCTGAAAAAAAGCCCCTTCTTCCGCGTTGTGGTTGTGATTCGGGCTTGGATTTTGCACTGACGGGCTTTGTTCAAATGAGACCCCGATTTTGTTTGAACCGATGATTTTCCTGTTTTTTTTCATTTTGACTGCTGTATGGGTGAAGCTGTTGAATGTCGTTTGAAAAAAGCATTTTTCTGACTCGTGTTGCCAGTGTAAGCTTGTGCAACAGTCACGGGAAAAGCATCACGGTAAACGTTTCCACAGTCACGGCAAAGGGGAGCGATGACAAGTAGTGTTGATCTCACCGCGTAATCAGAGCTGTACTGTTGCTTGATCTTCAGCTTCTTATTTTACCCTCTCTGCTCACCTTGTTATCCTCAATGTCAGGTCTTGAGGGGGCTGAAATTTTGTTAAAGCCTTTGTCATTAAATGGCTGGGATGACCTCTGGGACTGTTTTACCGTTGGGTCGTGAGCGGACATGTGACCCGAGCTGGTCATGTGTGTGAGGTAAAGCCATTTGATGGCTATTTAGTGATGCCAAAGAAGGACAGAAGTCCCGATGTACTTCGGTACTACCTTTATAGATGCAGCCGTCATAACTGATGCTAGTCAGTCCTCAGCAGTGAGGCCAGAGACTGAACGGTCCATAAAAAACGAAGCTCCCTAATCAGCCGTGGAGAGCATCCTGCTAGATTTACAGAACAGCAGGAGGGAATTTGAACTACTCTGTCTTGTAAGCAAATGAAGGAGAGTTTTTGCAGCGCATCGTGAGGAAAAGCCGACTTCTCAAAGCAACAGCAGCTGATGCTCGCCTGTCGCATTTGTTCTTTGGCTGTGTCTGATTATCTTGGATACTCATGTATTATCTATGTTTGTTGAAGCAAGTCTGTTCTTCTGAGCAGGTCTACATTGCTGGGAAGACATTGACAAGTTAAACTCCTTTCCAAAGCTCGAGGAAGTGAAGTTGCTAGGAATCCCTTTGCTGCAGTCCTACACCACCGAGGAGCGCAGGAAGCTGCTAATAGCCAGGTCTGTTGCTTGTTAATTCTGCTCAGCAGAAGTGTTACGTGGTAGTGGATGGCTGGGAGCGGGTAATTGGAGGAAGAAGCTGTTACGAGATGGGGTTTAGTCTGAATTCACTGCTCAGAAAGATTTGAGCTTTTTTCTGTTGCGTAGGAAAGTTGGAGTAGTGGAAATGTGAAGTCGAACTGCCCTACTTCTCAGAGAATTTTTTGAGTCTTATACGTGCCTGTGCACGCAATGCACGTATGCGGCGAAATGGTAATGCTTAGTTTTGAATGTGCGTGGAGAAACTGCGTGGAAGTTGCCCTCTCTCTTGAGGGGACCGAGGCGTAAGCTGCCTGGGAGGATTCTCCTGGTGTTAGTGTTGTGGCACGTAGCTTTTGATGGTGTCTCTCTCGCTGGTCACCCTGTCGGGGTGTCTCTGCTTGCTGACTGTGTTTCTTGGCATCTGCAACCAGGTTGCCATCTATCGTCAAGCTCAACGGAAGCATCGTTGCCGATGGTGAGCGAGAGGACTCGGAGAGATTCTTCATCCGATATTACATGGAGTTCCCGGAGGAGGAAGTGCCATTCAGGTATGAATTCTTTGTTGTGGAATGGAGAGCAGGGGCAGAAGGGCGGCGAGGCAAAAGGAAAGGCGACTGAACAGATGATGTGACACGGGAAATCCGAGCTAGCCGTTCCGTGAAAAAAACATCCCTTGCCTCCATCCTGTCTTGCCTCCCTCAATCTGTTTCAGTTAATGTCGTTATATTAGAGTGCTGTCTGATGACTTGTAGAACCACTTCTGAGTCAAATGTGGTCTGAAAGGGTCCACGTCAAGTGCCATTAAACAACGTGACTGTTCAGTTCATGATCTTCATTGTTTCCTGGCCTCCCTGATAGCTGTCTTCGTAATCCACCTGTGTGTGGGAGTCTCCAAAAGCCAGTATAGATTGTGCGCTCTGGTGCCAGGCCGGGGCGTCTAATTCTCTTGACCATCTGGTGTGTGGAATGTGACTGGCGATGGGAAGCTGTCCCCTCACTTTCAGGCCCGCAACTGCAAGTATGATGGTTTTTCTTTGCCAAAAAAGTATGCCCGATGATCCGTTAATCTTAGTAAACTAATGAACTTTGACAGATGCTGTTCAGGCGGTATCTTCTCTGGGCTGGCATCTGCGTACTGATTCTTAATGGGCTGAGGAAGGATCACGGAACATCAAGCCACTGCATTTATGTACTTTTTGCCCTAAGACCCTCGTGGGCTTTGCAGATGATGGATCGTCATAGCGCTTTCTTTGTAGAAAGGTGGTAGGACAAGAGCGTGTGTGTCTGGGCAGATGGACGGAGCTAGGGACAAACTGAGGTAGAGAAAGTCAGAGGTATGGCCCAGTACAGATGACAAAGGTGCCAAAAGCATCAGGTCGGTGCTTCCCTGAGCTTAACTCTTAGGTAAAATGTGTCTTATTTTTGAAAAGCACTGTGTATGTGACCTGCCTGTACGGTAAGGGCATGGGAGGGCTGGAATGGGGAATGAGGGCGTTTTGTAAGAATACTAATAGGTCCAGCGATTCTAGTATTCCTTAAAAGCATACAGGGGTCAGTTCAGAGGCAAAAGGTACTAACATAGTCAGGGAGACAAGACAGCTGGCGATCCCTCTTGTGCTTTATTCTGAGGACAAGGTCTGGCTTGTAATTTTAGAAGCCCTTGAAGCGGAAAAATTGAAACAAATATTGGAAGCGATAGCAGCAGAGGCGCAGGATGCAGGGAAGAGGAAGGGGAGACAGGGACTGTGAGCTCGTAGTGCTGTGCTCCCAAAGTGGATTGTTATCCAGAACATTTTATTTCTAAGAAAACTGTTGCAAGTCTCTGTGTGTGTGGCTCCAGAAGGTGAGAAGAGCAGGGCAACTGACTCCAACAGCTGCAGCGGAGTCCTCCCCTTTGGCTGACCTGGGAAACCAGCCAGGAGACGGCAAGGCAGGCCCTCGCGCTGAAAGTTGTGTGTTCAGTCGCAGAGTGGGAGGGGAACTAAGGTGCAAGTAGCCCTTTGACCCTGGTGCAAAGAGTGTGCTGCCCTGAGCTCAGGAGGAAGGGTTTGTGCATGGGAGGGAAGGTAAAGAAGTAGCTGGCAGGCTCTGAATCTTTTGCTGCTGGACTTGCATCTCTGGGTATTGTGGCGACAGGTGCCTTGCATGTCCAGGACCCGTATATTGTTCAGAAGGAGACAGTGGGGTATAGCTTTAGACACGCGTGATGACGCTACTGTTAGGATGTGGACTTTGGGAGCACGCTGTGTGCACCCACGTAGTTACACAACACCACATGCGACTGGGGTCGATTTCCAGGTGGGAGCTCATGTAAGAAATTTCTAATATCCCACCCGTCCAAAGAAGCTGGCCTGATCTTGACCAACAAGCTAGCTTTACGCTATTTTGGTAAGATACAGAGGAATTACTTTCCCCTCTGTTTTCTTAACCTTTAAACACTGTTCCTGCGCTTGTCGTGGTCAGTGGGCTCTTTGTCTGAATCCCTTCATCTGCACAGCATTTGCGAGAGACCTGTGCGGCTACTGAAGCGGGTTGTTCTCTTCTGGAGGAGTTGTGTGCTGCTCCAGCTATTTTTTAATGAGGCTGCAGATGGCTGAGAGCATCCCTAGTGCCGGGTTTCAGTTCCTGGACCCGTACGCAGCAGGCCTTGCAGGAAGGGAAACGTGGCATTCTTTGCAGAGGGATTTTTTCTGAGCTTGTTGCTAAAGCTTACTCTTCTTTGCTCCCAAGTCTGGTGTGGTTTCTCCAAAGGTGGTTTGTAATCCGCATCTAATCGGGACACACGCATGTTGTTGCTGAGGGTACGGCATCTGCATTGCAGTGCTGCCTCAAGCGGAGGAAGAAGACACACTTGGGCACAGAGACCTTACGAGTGCAAGCAGCACCCCTCCAGACTGTCGAGGTATAGCGTGCGATAAGCGAACGGCGTACTTTCTCACAGCAACCTCCCTGCTTGCATTGCGTGTCTTTGCGGGCTGCAGCTCGAAGGGACCGGAACGGCAGGGAAACGGAAAGAATAATTTATCTCTCTGGATGTCGTGGGTTAGAAAGGAGCACCGAGTGTACAGTCCAATACTGGCCGTCGTCTTGAGTGACGTCTTTGTGTCTGTGGGTTTTTAATGAGTCTGCTGCTGGTCTGGTCCACTGTTTGTCTGCAGAGTATCAGAGACGCTTTCAACCAGGCTCAGTTCTCCAGCATCCTCTCCTCTGGCAGCCAGCGTCTGCCAGGCTGCGAGGGGCGATGATAGAAGTCTCCAGGGTGCCTATTATCGGGGTGCAAAAGAACCACAGGAGCAGCGTGCCTTCGTCCTTCTTGACTGGAGGAAAGCCAGTCGTTCAGACTCCTAACTTTCTTTGCAGGCTGCAGCTAGCATACAAGGAGCAGGCTGTGAGGCTTGTTCTGCCTTTCCTCAACATGAGACAATTTAAGACAGCATTGCCTGACCGTCTGCATATTTACGGCATGCATTTGGGTAATGTTATCCGACTCGTGGCACTTCTCTCTCTCAGCTTGCTTGAAATTTGTCCCCCTCTTTATACTCTTCCCCCCATCAGCCCCATTCCCTGCAGTTTGCCTTAGTGCGTGAATCGTGGCAGCGCTTCTGGTCAGCACGTGAGAATTTGTCGCTGGTCTGCAGCAGAAACCGTGCCGCAAAGAAATCCTCCCCGTCGGTGACATATTGACTAGGTTAAGCACGGGGAGCGCATTGTCTCCTCTCAGCACTAATGGCTTTCCCAAATAGGTAGGCCTGATCCTATCACCCAGGTGACTGTGAGAGCAGGGCACCGGCCTGCCTTTTGGACGCTCTGCCCCAGTGAAGGCTCGTTTTGTCCGTGAGACTGGGGAAATCCTAGCGTGTAGTGGCCCTTACCTCATTTCCCGGCAGACAGAGGGTCTGCTGTTCTCCAGGAACGTTACTGCCTTCAGCGGGACTCCCTGGGGTCACCCAGCCTGCCAGGTCCCATCATCTCTCGACAGGGGCCATGACACAGCACCGATCGCATTCAGCTCGGACTCGGAGCGGGAACAAAAAGAGCTTTCTGTACGGCGCAGAGTGGAGGGCCTCTGAAACATTACCTTTTCTCAGCAGCTCTTGCTCTTTGTCGTTCAGTCAAATTGTGTTTTGTGTTGCCGTTTCGCCTCTTTCCCAGCCAGGCAGGGGAGGCGCAGCCTTGCCCGATCGGAGCGATGCCCGCGGAAAGCAGCGGGAGGGTGAGACGGGCTTTCCGTCGTAGAGGATGGCTCCCCGGGAAGGGCCTTGCGAAGGACAGCTGGAGAGCTTGGCTTCGAGGGAGAGTGACAGTGGAGTGTGTGGCTCTGCTAGAAAAATTCCCATGTTGTTTTAGAGTAGCTGTGGAGGATCGACTGGCAGGAACTCTCCCGTTTGTTGTCAGCTTCCAAACCGTGCGGCAGCTCACCTTGATTCGGTGATCTTGGTGATCCTGTGCTCAGTGGAGTGTAGCATTTTAATGTCTGAAAATCAGTTGGGCCTTGAAGCCAGGAATACTGGGAATCTAGACTGAGCGCCGTGTCCTCTGTGTGAGCCCTGTCTTGGCTCTGGCACTCTTTAGTGAAGTGTTGTCACTGGAGCAGGAGGCTTAGAGCCTTGCAAGTGTAGCGTGCTCTCTTTCTTCCAAATCACCGTGCAGTGACAGCTAGGGTTTCTGAAATTGTAGGAGCCCGGTAGAGAGCCTTGCTGCTCAGTTTTGTTCAGGAAGCTGTTTTGAGCCCAGTCAAGGGGAACGTTTCAGGGTGGTGAGAACTTCACCTTCCTCAGCTAGATACCTCCTCCCTAGCTGGACGCTCGCTCGGGTTTATGTCGGTGCCACGGGGGTGCAGCTCAGGGACTGGGGGACAAGGTGACTGGTGTGGATGGGCTTTCCGGGTTTTACGTTCTCCTTTTCAGTACCTTGCCTGAGGCACACTGTGTGTTCCGTGAAGCGTCGTGCTGGCAAGGGAGAAAACAGGACTCGCACCATCCAGGTTTATTCCTAATGACTGTCTGTTCAGGTCGTCAGACTTGAATCCTGGTGGACGTCGTCTCACGTGAGGAGCGTTCAGCTCCCTGAAGTGTGAGAGATGTGGCGGCAAATAAAGAAGAAAGCTGGGGTTTTCCTTTAGTTGCTGCTGGGCAGGAGACTTGTATGGAGGGAGACGTGTGCGGATGGGTTTTGAACGGTAGCACGGCAGTGTTCTTTACTCACGGGAGCCTCATCCATCCTTCCCGCCTCAAGCGAGGCGCTGGTTAAACTGACAGATGTTTTGGGAAAGCCATATGCCAGCTAGTCGCTGACACGGAGGACGAGGACAGCTCATTGCTGTCTGGGTTCTGGTGTTAGCTCTCGTCAAAGAGCTCTGGGCTTTAGAGGAAGCGCCCCTTGGAATCGGCACTTACTCTCTTGTCATCCGGTCACTGTACCCTCCGTGCAGATGTCTGTTTATACTTTGCAACCGTGTAGTGTCTGTGGATAGAGTGGCAGCTAAAGTGGGATGGTGTCATAATGTGAAACAGACGCTGACTTGTGAAATGTACGTTGGTCGTGCGAGCAACTGTACCACAACTCTGGAATTTTCTAATTTTTCAGATATCATGAGCTGGTCACGAAATACGGGAAGCTGGAGCCCTTGGCAGTCGTGGATCTTCGGCCACAGAGCAGCGTGAAGGTGGAGGTTCACTTCCAGGATAAAGTGGAAGAGATGTCGATCCGTCTCGATCAGACTGTGGCAGAATTGAAGAAGCACCTAAAAACTGTAGTGCAGTTGTCCACAAGCAACATGCTGCTCTTCCACTTGGACCAGGAAGCTCCCTTTGGTCCTGAGGAGATGAAATACAGCTCGCGAGCGCTGCATTCTTACGGCATTCGGGATGGAGATAAAATTTATGTGGAGCCCAGAATGAAATAACCTGTTTTGACCTTAGGCGTGCGTGCACGTGCGCACGCGTGCCCCCACACACCCGCACACATGCATCGAGGAGTTCTTGCGAGGTTTTTATTTCGGTCGGTTGGTTGAGGTTTGGTTGCGTTTCTGTAGCAGGCAATTTCGTAGCCCGGAGGGAGTGCCCCGATCCGAGAATCATGCCCGCCATCCACGGCAGGTCACCTTGAGGTGGCAGTTGGCTTCAGTGCGTGCGTTTCAGTGTGTGCAATACCTTGATGTTTTCTTCGATGCTCCGGTATACTCGTGATTTGGCATGAATGGTCAGTCGTCGAAGCTAAAGAATGCTAGGGCCCACAAGGGAGAAGACAGCTCGGTGCAGAATTGGACCTGTTTTTTTCTTTTTCTCAATTTTTGGGTTATCGGCTCCACCAGAGCGCTCTTTGGCCGTGCCATCTGACCTCGGCTCGAGCTTGCTGAAGTATTTGTTTGCAGCTGGGTGCCGTCTCGTAACCTTTTGTTGTGCTCGAGTTCACTGAAAAGATCTAAAGCAGTATTCTGCTTGAATCGGAGCTCAGGTATTTAGTGCATGCACTTAACTCCACTGGTTTGGTTTGTATGAGTGCATAAAATGGGGGACAGACAGACACTCTAATAGAAAGAAACAATTTATTTTTGAAACGCACGGTCTATATCCCTGCTGTCCTATTATGATTTTTTGAAAAAAAAGAAAAAAAAAAAAAAAAGGTATTGATTTCTGTACTCATCTGACACAGTGTCTGCAACCTGTAGCCCTGGCAGTCCGGAGGCGAGGGGCCCCTTGCCGTGTGCGTTGCGAAGTGCAGTTGGGAAGGCGGTGGGTGGGCGTTGCGTTGGAAGGGTTTCTAGAGTAACAGGTCCAAAAGGGGCTGAAGAGCAGATTCCCCCAGGGGCCGCGACGCATCCGCGTGACGCTGAAGAGATCCTCCAATATGCACTTAACCGTATACCGGTTTGTACTGAAAGTGGAACGGCTGAAATTGCTCTCCTGGCAGAGAGGAAGAGTAAAGTTGGTGTTTGTTGCTGTTGCACCAGAAATGAAACCTTGCAGTTTCCTCAGAGACCCCTGTCCGTGGGGTTCCTGCTTGGGGTCCGAACTGGAAGAGGATGGTGAGGGGACTGGAGCATCTGTCCTAGGAGGAAAGGCTGAGGGAGCTGGGCGTGTTCAGCCTGGAGAAGAGAAGGCTGAGAGGGGACCTGTTCCAGCTGAACATGAGGAAGACCTTCTTCCCTCGGAGGGTGACGGAGCCCTGGCCCAGGCTGCCCAGGGAGGTGGTGGAGTCTCCTTCTCTGGAGATATTCCAGACCTGCCTGGACGCGGTCCTGTGCAGCCTGCTCTGGGTGACCCTGCTTCGGCAGGGGGTCGGGCTAGGCCTGGGACCCCAGAGGTCCCTTCCAACCCCGAACATTCTGTCATTCTGTGTGATTCTGTGAATGTGTTGGCTCACATGGGTTTCTAGCAGATGAGTAACAAAGCAGCTAGACTCACGTGTATTGTAAAGCAGGTTTTCACTGTTTATCTTGGCTTCCCCCCCCCGCGCACCTCGTAAGCAGCAAATGCTGCTGCCTAAATTCGCCCCCAATTTCTGCTGCAGGACAGATTCCCTTTCTTGTGCGATGAAACTCTCCTTGCTTTAGAGCCCGTTTCTCTTTCCCGTGTCCTCCCTTGTTCCTCTGCCCCCCTGACGAGCTGAAGACTTTTCAAGGTATCTGGTTATAAGCAGCTGCATAGAAGTTTTTGAAGCTGTGCAGTGAGGGCTCTAGTTACATGTGAACTGCTGACCTTAATGTGGAACTGCTCCCTTATCCCGACGTGCACTTTCTTTCCCATGATGCTTTCGGCCACATCACCGAGCGCCTTGGCATTCTTGGAGTCGTGTATTTCTCTTCATATTGTACCGAGATCATGGGGCAGGGTAGGATGGAGAGGGGATAAAATATGATCAGGTAGTCTTCGGGTTCAGGATGTGGGGACCGTTTGGAGGGGAGTAGTTCGGTGTCCGGAGTAGCGATTAAAAGCGGGTGGATTTGAGACAAGGTAAATATTTGTGCCTCATCCGCCTGCCAAAAGCGTCAGTCTTCTGGCCCCGGGAGACGAGCGATAGGAAATGGAGCAAGACTCGCCGTAGGTAGCGTAGAGCATGTGGCACGTAGCTGCGGAGCCGTGGTACCCATGAAACAAAAGAGCGGGGAGATGGCGGCAGTGTGACGTAAGATGTCGCTTTTTTAAGCTAGAGCTTTACTGAAGATGTATTTTGCATTTGGGCTGCGAAAGGCGTTTGCTGCCTTATAGTGGAACTCTTAAGCCAACACTTCTGTATGATATATACATACATACGCATAGGAAAAATTGTGTTAAATAAGATATTTTGTTATAAAGCAAAGTTTTACGAAGATATGGTTGTTTAATATTAGAAGCCTATTTCTCCCGTTGACCTGCAGTTTAAATAGGTTATCCCTCCGTCGCTGCAGTGTCAGAGGTAAGCGACCGACGGGAAAGTATCTCTGACCTAATCCGATAGAGCAGTAATTGCCTATGTGGGTATCTTTATGGCATTGTAACTGGTATTAATGAGATGTTGTAATTATTGACCAAGTTCCTCGACACAGTTAAGTGTCTCGGTTTCAGAGAAGGGAATAAACGAAGACCATGAAAGAATCGAATGGGATGCTGAAGAAGACCCAGGTATGTGCTTGTAAGTTTGTTTGCCCACAGAAGGTTAGCCTGTCCGCAGAGGGAACAGTGCTGTCACCGCGCTGGCTCAGAACTGTCAGCAAAGCACGCTTTTATTTACGGCAGACCCGGTGGGAACTGGAAGATGGAAGAAGAGAACGCCTACGAGGTCGACAGGCGCCACGTAGCTGCTGGAGATCTGGTGCTAACACCCAGTCCGGCTCCCCCAGTCTGTTTGGGTCAGCAAAAGTCACGATACGAATATCACCGGCCTTGGCACTTTGTCAGGGGAAGGTTGCTTCTGGATGATTTTCTCTAGCCATTCACCTTCCGTGCAACTAGCAGAGCACTGGTGGGGTGGAAACCAAAAATAAAGGTTGGCTTGCGAGAGAGAAAGAGTCACGTCCAAAACCTGGGGACAGTTTGTGCATCCAGATGGTTGACTTTGGAAAGGAGGGCCAAATGGCACGCAGCTGCTGTGGCAAAAGATCCCAAGCTGGCTTGCTTTCCTTTTGTACTGCCTTCTGGGAAAGGGTGGCGTGTGGGCCGTGTTACCGCTTAACAGGGGACCGTGTCTCGGGGAGCGAGGGGAGGGCTCGGAGCGAGAGAGGGGGTTGGGGGCCGACAGTGCGTGCTGAGACTGCGGGAGGGTCCCGAGAGGGCGGGAGGTTTGATATAAATCAATGCGATGCGATGAGGGGCTGTGTCCCGGTGTTGTCAGCCTACACCCCCTTTCGCACTAGGTCTCTGGGTCTGTCGCGTTCCTGTGAGAAGGCGGAACAGATTTGCAAGCCTCTCTAGCTTTTGCGTCCTTCTATCCGAGGGCTACTTCTGTTAAGAACTGTTTTGTTGTTTATGCTTGTTCATGCATAGAAGTCTGCCGCGGGCAGTCTACGCAGTGGGAAAAGCACCTGGTTCGGAAGGAATTAGGTGACAGCTACATACCAAAGTGTCGCACGGCTCCGTGTATGGAGATTAGATGCTGTGCCGTTGTGTTTATGGATCCGTTCCTGTTGAATATCCATGTTTGGACCAGATGTTGCAGGCGTATCGCCTAACCGGCGATGTTATGAATATGCACGGCGTGGCGACTGTCCTCTGCTCCCTGGACGGGATTTGCAACCCCCTTTATTGGGACTTGCGCACATCCCGGTGGCAGAAGACAGTGTGGCCCGCGGTGGCTGGGAGCGGCTCGAGGGAGCTGCGGCTCGCGGCCCTCACTGCTGCTGGGGAGAGGCTCTCGGTTTGCCCTCACCTACTCGGGTCCGTAATTCGAAGGAGGCGAGGCGGCGGCTCTGCCTCCGTCGGTTGCTGGTTGAGCTTGTAAATGAGATTCTGTAGGTTCTGTTCGTGTGCGGATTTGAAAATGCAAACAAGGTGCTGAAAGCAGCCCGGAGGCTAAAATATGTATTCCTGGCAGCTGTGCCTTCCTCATTTAAATGTGGCGCTTTTGTAGGCGGTAGAGACGCCTTCCCCAGAGCAACGTTAGAGGGGCCTTAGCCATCTCGGGCCTTTGCCTCTGATTGCTTTTCTGCAGTTACTGGAAATGTCAAATATAACTGAGACATGAAGGTGTATTCTTGCTCCCTCCTAATGATGCATCCATATGTAATGTCAAAGGAAAAGGAAGAACTGTAAGTCTGTCTTGTTTTTGTTCTGATTTCTCTCACGGGGAATCTACTTCCCACTCCCACAATCGGCCTTTGGTTGGTTCGCAGACTTAGCAGTGGAATTCAGGCCATATAGGTAATTGGTTTGGATCGGTGAAATAAACTTATGTAAGTTTTTACACCAAAAAAAAGTGTCCCGAGTTGTGCACTTCTGTGTTCTCTGAAGCAAAATGCTTTACTCCGTCTCGCTCGCACACCTCATACGCGCCTTTGGGAGAGCGAAAGCTGCTGAGGTCTTTCTGTTCTGTTGGCTGATCGTGCCGGCTGTCTGCCCGGTGAGCTCGGGCACAGCCGCCTCGCTTGTGCGAGATGCCGCTTGTCGGAAGGAGAAGCGCAGTGCTGGAAGAGCTCGTCCTGTCCTGGACTGTGTGTTTCTTCGTGGCGGTGACTCCTCTCCACTCCCAGGTGAGGAGCAAGGCTCGAGCTCGCTCTCTGTGACCTGCTTCGTGTTCTTGGTGGGATCGGCCTTGGGGTTAAAAGGAATTTCACCCTCGAGAAAAGGTTGGTAGTTGCTGACAGGGAGGGCGGTGTGGCCCACTAAAGCAGCAGTCGTGGGCTTAGCCCATGTTGGCCTGCACCGAATGACCCTGGGGAGAGGCAGGAGGAGGCAGATGCCCCTCCGCATGGGACGCAGCTCCTGGACA